GGCTCTTTCTGCAGTGACCCCTTCGGGCGCCAGAGGGAGCCGCAGGGTGAGTCCGGAGCTGGGCCGGCAGAGGAGGGGCGGGGCCGTCCCCCCTCCCGCCCTGGGGCCTCCGGAAAGGGTCGGCTGCGCTCCGGATGCCCTGGTAGGCCGCGGGGACAGCCTGGCTTGGGTCTCGGGAGATGTGCGATTCCGCCCTGGGTCAGCTGGGTCCTCTGTGGGTCGCAGGGCAAATCGTGCTTAAATGTCAAATGGAGGAAACGCCGCCCCCGGGGTTGGTGCTGTCCCCCGGCTTCCCGCGCGGACCCTGCCCAAGGTCTGTCCGCGGTGGCTGTCCCGCACTCCCTCCCTATTCCCCTTCCCAAGACCCACGGGGGACAGGAAGGATCTGGAAGGACTGCAACACTTCTGAACTGTGAACCTGGGAAGGGCCCATGGGGACATCCTGGGCTCTGGACTCAGCGCGCCCACGGTTTGAATTTAAAGCAGATTTCCAGGCCAACTTCCACTCCTCCCTTCCCACCTCTGGCGTTTGGGGGCCAGGCTATTTTTAGGACGGTTAAGTGCTTTATTCATCCTGAAGTTTCCAGAAGAGAAGAGGGCCTTATGTATCTCACAGCCCTTCTAGCCCTCTCAGGCTGGGGCCTGGGCCTTGGGGCTTCGTGGAGCTAACATTTATGGAACCCTCCAGGTGGTCGAGCTTCCTCAGGCCTGGCTCAGGAGGGCCTAAGGAGGGCAGCACACCTAAGGAGCGGGCCCTAAGCCTAGGCAGCTCTCTGCTCCCCAAGCCAGCCTTGACCTAATAGCTCCTTTCCTGCAGTTGGACAGAGCCAAGTTACTATGTTGATGACTCCTGTGGCAGGACAAAACTATCATTTGGGAAGATGTGTTTGCCTATCCAAGGTCCCACTCTATGATCAGCTCGGTGGTTTATTATCCTGAGAGATCCCTCCATAGCCCTGGTCAATTCTAGCCTAGGGTACCTCACTTTGTACCTGAGTTTCCTCATCTGTAAATGGGACTTTTGCAAGATTTAATGAGGTCCAACCTACAACAAGACCCCTCACCCCGGGTACCATAACTACTGTATCCTACTGTATCCAGGGTAAGGGGGGAAAAGGGGTCTCAGAGGACTTTTGCCCTCAGGGTCTAGCCCTGGCCCTAAGGAGGGATGAGGAGATCACCCAGAAGTGGCGATGGCAGGGGCGTAGCTGAGGCAGGATAGAGAGAGGGTCGCTAGGCAAGGGCGGCAGAGGAGTCCATGCTGCAGTCCTGAACAATGCGCCCTCCCTCTGAGACAGGCTCTAGGCAGCCTGTCATTCCTTACCCCATCCCAAGTGCTAAGCACACGGACCTGCTCAGCCTACGTTCTGAGGAGAGTCCAGAATGCCACTGGAAACCAAAATTGCCCTCAGCTCCTCAAGTGCCCAACAAGGATGTCCATGACCACCAGGAAGAGCGCCTTTATTTCAGGCAGGGTATATTCCAGATCTGGGCCATGGAGCAAAAGGCAGGGGCTGAGGTCCTGGGCCTCTCTTAGCCAGACAGGAAGCTCTCTAGCTGAGTATCCCAGCAGGCCCAGCTGTCTCTTCTCATCAGCCAGTCATCCTGGGGTTGAAGTCAGAAGTCAGAGAACAGAGCCTGCCATGTCCTTAGCTGTCACTGGACCAGAGATGCTTGATGGCCGGAGCTGGCAGCTTCGATACCATCATCATCCACTGCCTTCCCTGGTGCTCCTGGTAGACTTGGGCAGGGAGCTGTAAAAATACAAAGGTTTTGGGGCTGGAGAGATGGCTCAGTGGTTAAGAATACTGGCTGTTCTTGCAGAAGACCCAGGTTTGAATCCCAGCACCCACATGGCAGCTAACAACTGTCTGTAACTCCAGTTCCCAGGGATCCAACAGCCTCTTCTGTCCTCCTTGGGCATTGCACAGCATGGGCCCACTTACCTACATGCAGGCAATACACACATAGACATAAAAAATAATAAAGGCCAGAGGTGGTGGCACACGCCTTTAATCCCAGCACTCGGGAGGGAGAGGCAGGCGGATCTCTGTGAGTTCAAGGCCAGCCTGGTCTACATCATGAGTTCCAGGACAGCTGGGGCTACAAGGAGACCCTGTCTTAAAAAGACAAAAATAATAATAATAATAAATAAAATTTAAAAAAATACAGAGGGTTTTTTGTTTGTTTGTTTGTTTTTGGTCTTTTTGAGACAGGGTCTTCCTGTAGCCGCAGCTGGCCTGGATTCGCTATGGAAACCCGGCTGGCTCAAACTCACAGAGATCCACCTACCTCTGCCTCCCGAGTGCTGGGATTAAAGGTTTGCACCACTACGCCCAGTGGTAAAAATACAAAGGCTTTTATATTGGTGATGGGCTATTGCTGGGTGGATCTGAGGGGGTCTCAGGTGAGCCTGGGGGGCAGTCACTTCTTCCCCAGGGCTGATGGGAAGGAAAGGGTGCTGAGTGTATCAACTTTAGGGAAAGAGGGAGGGAGGATGAAGTTGGGCTCTGGGAGCAGAAACAATTCTTCCCTCCCTGCCCAGAGCTTCAGGGAAAAAGTGGCAAAGGGAAGGGTGGTTCTAAGTAGACTAAGGCGTCCTTGGAGCCCAAGCTACAGTGATTTCTTGAGATCCAGTCCCTGACGCTGTCCCTGGTGCTAGGCTGATAAGTTCGGTGGGGGGGGAGGAACCTCTGGGCAGAAATGGAGGCTATAGGCACAGACCTCTTCTGGGCCCAAGCTGCAGAGGATGTTGACCATAAGGACAGCTGCCCAGGGGCTGAGGTCTGGAGGTAGGAAGAGGGTTTGTGGAATTCTGAGCAGCCCCATTTGGGGTGGAACTCATCTCACCAGGAGACAGGATCTCTGGGGGCTTCAAGGCACAAAACTTCCCAGGGCACAGCTCAGCCTTCATGTCTCCACCATAGACTTCAGAGACACCCCCAGAGGCCTTCACTGTCCGCCTGCTGGCCCTAGTAACTGACCCTTACTGTCCCACACTTTTCCAGAAGTGTCAGTCTTTCACCAAGGAACCTGCCATCCAGGCATGAGAACTCATGTTCCCACATGTGTTCCTGTACCCTGGCCCACAGGTCTTGTGGGCAGTGTTCACTGTTCCAAAGGTGTTGAATCGATGAGGGAGAGGAGGACAGGATTGGATGGTGAGAGTGAGAATGTACAAGAGGTGCCAGGCCTGGGGCACAGGAATACATAAAGGGTCAGGTGCGGGGGGCGGGAGGAAGGATGGTGACAGGAGGAGATGGAGACCAGGTGCTGCCCAGGCACTGGGCAGAGGCTCCAGGTAGGGGGTAGGCGTCTACTGCAGGGATCCCACACCAATTGCAGGCTGGAAGGAGGCACTGTTTCTGAGCCAGGTGACAGTGGCTCCCTTCTCTTCCCCCAAATGCAGCTTCTTACTCACCAACAGCAGCCTGGCTCTGAGGGGCACCCCTCTGGGTGCCCTCAGGGGGCCAACGCAGCTCCCCACTTTCCACAGCACCCACCTCAGTGGGTCCCACCACGATCGAGGGCAGCTGCTGACAGAGCCAAGGGCCCTTCTCTTGGACACTCACTGCAGCCTGCAGGGGGAGGTGGCAATGGTGAGGGCAACGTTGGGCCATGCCCCTGGCTCCAACACTCCTGCTCTTCACCTTGCCCTACTAGGAAGGTCAAGGACAGGTTAAGGTGAGCAGTTCCTACCCTATCCCACCACTGGGGAAGGGGTACCCAGGGGACACTATAGGGCTGACATGGGCTCAGCCCCCAAATACCCATTTTACAGACAGAGCCTAAAACTGTAGAGCCCAAGTCATTTAGGAATGAATTCAAGGCTGAGTACTCCAGCTGCTTTTGTACCTGGGACCCAGCACAATTCCTTTCTGGGGGGTTCCCTGCTGGGTCTTTGGCCTCCTTCCTCCACATAGCAGGCCAAGGAGCTGGGAAGACGTTGCCATGGCAATCAAAGCTGGCTGTCACTCATTGTTCAGTGCCCACACGCCCTCTGGGCGCCCTCAACGTCTCCGCCTTCCATTCGAGGCCTTCCGAGGTGGAGGCTGTGGGACTGTCACAGCTTCATCTCTTGGTGCCCTGCAGCCCTGACCTTCCCGTCCTGCTCTGCATGGCAGGTGGTCTTCCTGGAGCTCCCCTACCTCAGTCCCTTCATTCTGGAAAGACAGCTTCCTAGTGCACGCCCACCTTCCCACAATGGCGCACTGCAGGAGGGCTGCCATGCAGCCCCTGCTCAGAACCGCTCAACACTGCCCGTTCATGCTCCACCCAGGACTCTTTTAACCAAGTACTGCAGATGACCCTGAGGTGTGAGAACAGGCGTCACCAGACTGGGCCAACTGTGGAATGAAAAAGCAAAGGGCAGCAGGGCAAGGACCCCATCCTACCCCCACAGCTGGACCCTCCTGGGACTGAGCCTCTGATGGCACTGCCAGTCCAAGCCTCCTTCCCCATCCGGCTCCCTCTTCACATACCATTTCCCTCCTGTCCCCCAGCCATGGGCCCTGCCCCTAGGGTCCCAGTGTGGTGCAGTGGCCAGGCCAGCAGGACCTTTAGGGTGGCTGTGTTGTGACCCTAGAGTCTAAGCTGTTCTCTTCACCAGTTCACTAGTCCCAACCCAACCTAACTTTGGAACAGAGTATCAGGACTGCTTCTTAGTGCAGGGACTAGATTTCATTTTGTTTTTTTGAGACAGGGTCTTACTATACAGCCTTCACTGGCCTAGAACTCACTATTTAGACCAAGCTGGCTTTGAACTCACAGAGATCCATGTGCCACAACCTTCTGAGTGCTGTGATTAAAAGCATGCACCACCATGCCTGGCCTCAGGGACTAGATTTTTATTTTATTTTATTTTATTTTACTTTTGAAACCAGGTCTCATGCCCCAGGCTGACCTGAAACTCACTATGTAGCCCAGGCTAGCCTTGATCCTTTTGACTCACTCCAGAATACTGGGATTACAGGAATACCCCGCCGTAGATTTAAATTTTTGCTACATAGACACTCCTACTGAAAACTGGATCTGAAGGCACCCTGGAATCATGTTCCCTGCAGAGAGTAAAGTGTAGTCTTGTGTTTGGGGGATAAGACCTGGTGTCCCCAGGTCCAGAAAGGGGTGCTAAGTAAGTTAGGGTGTCTTGCTTTCAATTGCTTTATTCATCAAACCTCTATGAAAAGAACAACAGCCTCCCTACCTAGATGGGTAAACTGAGGCTAGTAGTGAAGAGAGGCATGCCTGAAGTCATGGGCCAGAGCTTGAGGCTAGCTCCCTTCTGTTCCCTGTCCCCCAACCACTTACCTTCCCTGCTGGGCCTCTGGTGCCCTCAGCAGGACTCTCTGAGGCAGTGGGCTGTGGAGTGCTCATGCTGCTGCTGAGGGTGAGCTATACAAAAACAAGGGCAGACATGGGGTGTTCACAGCAGCCAGTATTGGGTGTCCCCATCCTCCCCACCATGGCCTGGCCCCCATCTGAGGTCTGATCTTTATCATGATACTCCCAGCTGAGCCCTCATCAGCAGAGCACTGGATAATTGCCACATAGTGCCCAGGGCATCAGAGGAGCGTGGCGGAATGAGAAAGACTAGTTGTCCAGCCTTGAGACCCAGGAAGGCTTCCTGGCAGAGATCAGCCAGCCTGAGGCCAACCCTATGGGTTGAGCAACAGGTAATCAGGGCAACTGGAGAGCTGCGTGTGCTGAGGCAAGGAACAGCAAGCAGAGGACACAGCAGAGCTGGGGACCCAAACAGGTTTCTGAGTTAGGAGGCTAGAATCAGCTGGGGCTGAGATGCAGCCGGACAGATGCTAAGGTGCCCAGTTTCTCCTCAAGAACCCCCCTTCAGACACACACCCCTGGACTAAGCCCTCAGTGCCTGCCACACAAGAGGGAAGGTGCCACCTGCCTTCAAATGGCTCTGCCCAGCCAGGACAGGTGCAGGTGAGGATTCAGGAACCATAGGCCCAGCCTCAGACTTTCTACTAGCTGGGCTCTTGGGGCCTGGCCCAGGCCAGAGGCAGAAATGAGGGTGGGATTTAGCATAATTGGGACAGGCACCTCAGTGCCCCAGGCACAAGAGGCAGGAGTGCAAGGAGACTGGGTCAAAGGAAAGCAGTGACCAGCAGGACCCAATGCCTTAAGACACCCTGGAGTTGGGGGTATACACTGATGGCCTCCAGCAAGACAGAAGCTTCTATTCTGGAAAATTAAGTTACCTTCATCAAATGCCCAGTTCTATCAGCTCAAATCCCAAGGAGTCCCAGAGAAGATTTGAAAGGGATCACATGCCTGCAGTGGGCACCCCCTGGCAGTGGGCAGCCAGGTCATAGCTACTCCTTCCTCAGTCTCAGAGCCTATGGGATGCATCCTGGCCAACTGCTCCCAGCGCCTCCAGTGAGCCCCCACATAGGATCCTGCCAACTTCCAAGTCCTGGAAACCTAGGCTAAGCCCTGGTTAGAGACCCAAATTGATGTAATTCAAAAAGAGGTTGGGGAGGCAGAGCACCCACTGGCCACAGTAGGGAGGCAAGGAAGTGACAGAGCTGGAAACTGGGAGGAGAAAAGAGCGGAGAGAGGGCAGACCTAGGGAAAATCCAGGGAGCCAAGAGCAAGGACAGCGCGCTGATGGAGAGCGGACAGATAGAGACCAAGGGTCCCCGGGGCTGCCTGGCTCTTGCTAGGTGCCAGGGTCCCCCGCCGGCAGAGAACACTTCCATAGGCTCCAGGGGGCCGTCAGAGGGCCTCTTGACCCAAAGTCTTGCAACCCCCATGGGCAGGGAGACCGTGGGACCCATGCCGGCCCCTTCCCCAGGGAGTTCCCACTGACTCCTCACCGCGCTCTCCCTCCTTCCCACGCATCCGCCCCGGCTTTCAGGGCGCAAGGCATCCCGAGGACGAGGGTGGGGAGAGGGTGCCCTGCGCCTGCCGCACACTCACCGCAGCTCCCTGCTCCCCGGCCTCCTCCGCACAGGCTCTGGCTTGCTCCCGGCTCCCAGTTCGCCTCCCCTGGCCCCCCTCCTCCGCACTCTTCGCACTCTTCGCCCAATTGCGCTAGCTCTTGGGCCTCTCATTCACACTCCCTCCCTCTGCTCAGCAGGGAGGACCACGGACTCCACTTCCCAAGACGACACCCCCTAGCCTGAGAACCTGGTCCTGGGCGCTTCAGAGACACCCCCCCACACACACACACCTCACATTCTCAAGGTTAGAATGTGAGATGCAGAGCTAGGTGAATCCGGATGTGTCAGAAGAGAATTCTCTCCAACAGGACAATAGAATAGAACAGAAGGACAAGGGAAAGTACTGAAGTAGGCAGGTTGGGGGATTGTCGCACCCAGACAACTCCATCAACCCAAGGCCACAGTGCATCATCCCTGGTCCATATAATTTTAGCATTCACTAATTGCTATCTATGTCCCGTTTACCTCATATCCACAACCAACATCCACATCTAGTCATCCAGGCACCACCCAACCAAATGCCCAGCAGCAACTATCACCTGTTTTCCACCATCCTGCTCTCAATCCACAGTTACCTTCTGCCTTCTGCTACTGTCCATCCATCCATCCTCCATCCCCTATGCAATCACCATCCAGTATTCAACATCCACTCACTACTTACCATGCAGCCATTATGCACACACCCTATCAATGTACCCAGCACTCATCCCCCGCTAGTCATCAGACCACCTGGTGATTTACCCATCCATCTTCCATGTATCCATCTATCATCCTTATTTTCCATCAACCAACAGCCATTAACTGTGAATATCTTGTCACACCCATCTGTTCACCATCCACATGCAATTTACCAAGCATCAACACACCATGAAAGCTTCCGTGCAGTAGACGTACATTCGTTCGTTTACCACCATCCACCTACCATCTACCCAGAATCATGCAATATGAAATAGGTTTCCATTACATAATAACTACTTGGGGCTGGAGAGATGGCTCAGCGGTTAAGAGCGCTGACTGTTCTTGGAGAAGACCCGAATTCGAATCCCAGCACCCACATGATGGCTAACAACCATCTGTAACTCCAGTTCCAGGGATGGGGGGATCTGACACCCTCTTCTGTCCTCCTCAGGCACTGTACAACACAGGTGCACTTACACACTTGCAGGCATAACACTCATACACATAAAATAAAATTAAATAAAGATTTAAATAATAACTACTCACCTGCCATTCATGCATCCATCCACACTTATTTAATTTTTCATCATCAATCTGTTCTCTATCTGTGTATCTACTATCCATGTACCTTGAACCACCCACTAGCCTCTATCCAATCAGCCACAATCCAGCTAAAACTCAGTCATCAGTGATTCATCATCCATGTTTCTATGAACTGCACTCCACATTCCACTCTTTTTCTCATCTACCACATGTGTGTATACTCATTATCCATCGCACAATATCTTGCCATCCATATCTACCCATCCATTATTCACTCCACATCCATCCAAGTATTTACCATTGTTTGTTCTAGAAAAAATTATTGAGTTCTATCTACGTGTCAAGCATTGCTCTAGCCACTGGGGATAGAGAAACAGCAGTGAGCGTTCACCTCCCATCATCTGTCCAAAACTGAGATGTCTCCACTCTCTGTCCAATCACAACCCACACATCATCTCCCATCTCCTCACTGCGGTTTGATAGCTACCTCAGTCATCTCTTCACTATCCACAGTTCAACTTTCATTAGTTTCCAAGATGTCATCTACTACTTAACCTTCCCTCCATTCACCACGCTACCATCACCCACCTTTCCAGGGTCCATCCATTTGTTATTCACCACATTCCATCTAGACGCCCAGGGACAGTGACACACAACCCATTATCCATCCAGCTAGCAAATATTTATTTGCTATCTGAAATGGTTAATCTTGGCTGTAAACCTGACTAGATCTGGAATCAATTATCTGAGTATATCTGTGAGGGATTTTCTGGATTACGTTAATTGAAGTGGGAAAACCCACCCTAAATGTAGCCAGAACCCTCTGGTGGTTGTCCAAATATAAGGGAGCCCTAGGAAAGCTTCTCTTTTTTGTCTAATTGCCTTGGCATCTCCCTGGTGAGTTCATCTACTCTTTACTACTTCATTGCCCTACTGCTGTCGCCACTGCCGCTACCAGCCTCAGACCTCAGAACCCTGCTTCGATCTTCCAGATGTACTGAAGACCAGTAGCTCTTGGCTCTCCAGGAGTCCTCCAGGCTTTCATCACCAGATTGGGCCTCCTGAGGCATTCAACCTTATAGACTAAGCAGCTACTGGTTCTCAGACTCTTCAGTGTGAAGACAGCCATTGTTGAACTGCCCTGTCTGTACCATGTAAGCCCATCTAATAAATCCTCTTTTAATATATATTCATTCTGTCAGCTGCGTTCCTCTAGAGATCTCTGACAATACACCATCTTCTTCCCATTCATACACTATACAGCCACCATCCAACTGGTCCATCACTCATGATCCATCCATCAATCCTATAACCACCAACATTTTTTACTTATTCTGTGAATAGACGCATCATAATCAATTTACTAATTATCCACCATCCACCTGAATTTCCTGTACCAATTCATGTACCAAGTGTCTTCCATCACTACCTGTTACCTGCAGTTCACCCACTATCGACTCATTCACTATCTATCAATCCATTGATTCAGCATCCACATCCAGCATCCACATCCAAACACGCTCTATTGATCTCCAATTCATCCATCACCACTCAGCCACCTTACACAGATGCATCCTCTATCCTCTGTCCATCCACCATGGTAGCACCATCGCCTACCCAGCTTTCAGTCCTACCTAGCCACTGTGCATACATACACGCCACATTCGCTCCCTCTACCATTGCCTCTAACAGTCCTTCCTGTGCTAACCACCCTCTCACCTAGTGACTGACCTGCCCATCATCCTTCACGTGTCCCTCCTGTGTTATCCTTGTATTATTGGTAATGGACACCACTCAACCATTTTCACTTCTCTCTCCCCACCTCTCATTTCCATAATTCATCTTTTTCCTACTGACCATTCTTTTCCCCATTCATTCATACATAGACTAACCACTCACTCATTGATAACTATAAGTGTTCCATGTAAATAATAAACATTCATTGCTCATAGCTACTGCTAGATTCTGAGATCATCAATATGAGTAAGAGTCAATTAGAAATCATGGTCTGAGTGTCCAAAAGGAGCCAACAAGTCAGTGAGAGGAGTGTCCGCAGAAAAATGTACATTCCAGGGCTGGAGAGATGGCTTAACAGTTAAGGGCACATACTGCTCTTGCAGAGTACCCAAGTTCTGTTCCCAGCACCCATGTCAGGCAACTTACAACCACATGTAACTCCAGCTACAGAGGATCCAGCGCCCTCTTCTG